TCTGGCCGCTGGTCCACATTTTTTAATCCTTTATATTAAGTTTGCTTGCTTGCTTAGGACCGTGCAAATCTTTCGTTCGTTTTTAACCCATTTCCCGTGATCCAATCGAGCTGACATTTTCCACACAGACTCGTTGTGCGTGACAATTAATGTTCGTTAAAAAATTTTTCCAAAATTTTACACTTTTTAGGACAAAAATATTATATTTAATTACCAATTGCTTAATGCTGCCATGCAATCATCTGACCCATAGGTGGCAGCCATCTCAAGCCAGAGGACGAGAGGACTCTAGCCGCCACGCATATAAAGGATTTATAGTGAAAACTTTGTTTTTACGGGTTATACTTGTTAAGGAATGTGTACCTCTCTTTGTCAAGGGCGCACACATTTTCAGCTCTACCACCATCAGAAACAGTCGTGATGTCCCAGGATCAACATGCAGGAGAGGCGTTCCATTAACGCACCTCCGATTAGCACGGTTGGTTACGTACAGTACGAAAGAAGTTCAATATACTCACATTAAGGGTGTCTTTAAAATTGGTCAACTTTAGGGAAGTGTTTAAACTAGAAGAACATGGAATACAAAAATTATATATTTTAGCTGAGCATAAAACATACAATTGCTTCTCTTTCGGGCAGTGGAGGGAGGGACAGAGGGGAGAATCTGAGCTAAGAGCCACAGGTTAGGACAAGACCAGGGTCATGCCGGGTCATCTGGGATCTCATGGCACGGCTCAGGTTCTCGATTATAATTGTTGTAGAAATGCAGCACGAGGTGGGTTGCCTATAAGTGGCAATCAAGGGGTAGATATTGAAGCCAGATGGTGAGACCCTGGTAAGAGCAGAGCTTGGAGGATGGGAGTTAATTTTGCAACAGTCTCCCCGCACCTCAGATTAGCACGGATGGGTATGTAAGGTGCGTAAGAAGTCCAGCATACATACAGATGTGAGATCTGGCAAAAGGGGGCATTGGAAGGTGTGGTAACATCAATGGCTTTGGCTATGATAACCTCTTATGAATTATAATTGAAAGCATAGCATGTTTAAAATAGAATATCCCGTCACAAAAAAAATCTGAAATGCCCGAGTACATCTTGTGTCCTTGAAGCATAGTGTTAGATAATATCATAACTTAACATGTAAGACAAGTCTTCATCTCTAGAATAGAACAAACCAATGGTTTCTAAAGAAACTAATTGGAGCTCATGTTGCTCTACAAAAGCCACTTTCTCAAACTTATATTTAGCAAAAGTGTAATAAAATAAATAACTATCTTAACTATGTTAATACTACAAAGTTACATACAATACTGCAATTACATACCCATCAACTGTTGTTAAAATCAACTGAAAGATTATTACATCAACGTCAGTCACCATATCTCGCATTTGCAAACCCAGGAATTAATTCCTTGTGATGTGAATATAATGTCTCCGTAGAGTTCTAGCTAAATTCATCTTTCATTTGATGATTTGTGCAAGGATTTTAATTAAGAATCAAGATAAATATTTCACGAGGATATTTCTTAAAGATGAGTTTGTGTTAATGGCCATTCCAGGGATTCTATGAAACATACCTCGATGATGAATGGCAATTGGGAGATTGACTGCCGGGCCGGAGCAGCCTCCACTGCTGCAGTGCATGTTTAATTATAACTTAATTGCAGCTGATAGCTCAAGTTTATGAGTGAACGCAACGCATTTCCAGGAAGATGCAACTCAAAAAACGCATCGCTCCTATTTCATCGATAGACTCGTGCGCAGGCTGTGTGTTCCAGGCTGTCCTGTGTAAGTTTGATGCTTCATTCGTGATATAAAACGAATCACATTGATACCAATTACTCAACTTTATGAATATGGCATAAGGGAAGGTTGGTGGTTTTGGAGGTTGGTGGATCATAAGTAGTTGCAGCAGCAGTGTTATATTATATTTTGTCATCTTCATTCATCATTAAATGCATATATCATGACCATTATATCATGTTGCTCTTCTTCCCTCGCACCTCCAATTAGCACGGTTGGTTACGTACATACAAACATTATCTTTTTTTATTACAACTATCATCATTGTCATCATCTTTTCCTCTTAAACAGTTTTCATCATCACCATTGTTGTTTTTAAGTAGCTTTAGGCCACAGATGTCGGATTGAATAAAATCCCATTTTGAGAATGTGTGATAAAAACGTCTCTCATCTGACTGAGTTGTATCTACAATATTAGCCGACCATGCGAGTGGTGCATGGATCCTGTGACGTTTGTCATAAGATGCTCACAGGATTCACATGTGACTTCAACATTATATGCATATACGTTAAAAATGATCTTCTGCTTTCAATTAGCTCTTACATCGTCTTAATTAAAGGTAACATATCTAGTGTATCAAAAACCTTGCATATTTTTTCTAATCTTGTGATATCTGTAATTCTTAAAGAGGTGGCAGTTCCACATTATATCCGTGGATGGAAATTTGCATTCTTCAATGATCTGCAACTGATGTTTTAACTATAATCTAGTTCACTGATGTTTTCATGAACACATCCTTTTACAGCTCAATTATCTGTTGACATACCTCTAACATCGTTATTGGTAATTCACTTCTTTCATAAGCTGTCACTTTCACAAAACATGCCCCCAATTGTAATTAAATTACATTATCTGATGAGGTATTGCTGATTGCCATTAGGCTGTATAAGGTGCACACATGAAAACAATGAACAGCTGTTCGTGTAAAATTATTCTTTGGTCTCAACTCGTTCATCACATCAATGCTACACTGTAGTACATTCATATACATTTTATTTTTAACACGTAGAGGGGAAAGTCACGTAGAAGGGAAAAAATAACCAAGAATATGAATCCCTGCAGTCACGAAAGCTTTAAATCGAAACCATAATACGTATTTTACTTCCTATGACTATATTGCATCTGTGCTCCTATAACACCATCTGCGGTCCCTTGAAATGAGTGCTCCACAACGATACGCACAGTAATTATACACTGTATGTCAGGTGCGATCACCAAGTGATCAGCTCATAAATAGTTTAGTGCCCAGACAGCATTGACGATAGCATGAGCGACCAAATGGCTGGCAATGCAGCAGACATTTGTTTTTATGGAACAAACACTTTCTTTTATTGGTCCTGGTGAATCCGCCCCATGAAGTCGTCTTGAATGGATGTTTTTAGCACTAAAATCGCTGTCCGCTGTGCACGCAGGCTAGGAACCCATTTATTGCTGTTTTTATCGCTAATAAATATCAACATTTATTAGCGACACGTAACTTGAAACGTGCAGTAGCTGTTGGAAGGCTTTGCTACCGTGGCAACGCAGCCCAGAGGGGAACAAAATCGGCAATTTGCACTGAGCCTCACATAAAAGAGGGTGTCCTCCCCCCCACAACTGGCCTGGTTTTGTCATTAATGAATAGTGGGGCCCCACATGGCATTCTGTTGGGTACATATGCAGAAGCAAACAAAGCAAAGAAGACCTACAGATTCCAACTCTGTCGTGGGAGAAAAACACAGTCGATGGTAAACTATTTAAATGAACTTTAATTGCTGAAAATAATGATTCAAGGTAGGATCTGCTTGTCTCTCTTGCATTCTGTCCTAGCTCTCACATCCCTGCCTGTTCGAGATAAGGGTGTGATGCCCATCACTTATTTGTACGAATTTTCATGCACTTTGTCCTGCCCCCTCCAACTATCGCAGACCGTGTGTGTATCATCACATGAAGCTTGCAAATTAAAAGGATACCACAGCACATCAGGACGTGTCTGTGAGCAGCCATTTTAATGTGTGGAACACAGTCGTTACCACAATAACATAATAATTTATGAGTGAGCTGAACCTTCAGCAGGGGGGTTTGTACCACCCCCCCCACCTCTCATGCCATGGAACTGCAATGAAGGAATACACTTGATGAAATGGAAATGTACCATGCATAATCTTTCGCCTGCATTTGGGAAATGCACTCACACCGAGGAACTGTATAACATTGTTATTTTTCACTTTAATCAAGCATGTGTGCCATAGATCACACCAACTCCAGAATCTTGAGTCTCACATCGAACACCTCTCTCCACAGATACCCACGCATTTGGCTTCAGGTCTATTGTACGACCGCTGATCCTACACGATAGGAAGGACCATAAACTGCCAGCCATTACACGTGGGAAAATCCGAGTACAGATAGTCCCCGAGTTACGACGGTCCGACTTATGATATTTCGATCTTACAATAGCGATACGACAAAATTATAAAATATTTTAAATTTCGCGCGGCAGGCAAACGCAGCAACGTACGAGGTACGATGCTGTACGTTGGGACGCTGCCGGGATGTACTGTATGCATCTCCCGCCTTGTGTGATGCAGATAGGATTGTTTCCTGAAAAACTTTCTATTAAATTGCAGTTCATATCGGTAGGCTAAGAATTTACCTTGTTTTTTTACTTTTCATTTTACTGTGCAATACAGTATTGTAATTAATAAATACACACAGTATATAGTTTATATAGTACGGTACTGTAACTTGCTCTGTTTTGCTAAATTATCACCATTCTTTAAGACTCCTGGGTAGGCTAGGCCATCTTAGACTTACGATATTTTTGACTTACGATGGGGTCGTCGTAACGCATCTCCATCGCAAGTAGAGGACTACCTGTACTGTACTCCTACCCCTTCAAAGAGATCTGGCCAGCATGGAAGTGTGGGCCAACATACCGTACAGAGGGGCTCTCTAGCGTGCCCTCCAGCGGAGACCCCTCCGTCTCTAGTGGCGTAGGCAAGTGATGGGGTCTCTTGAGGGGTTAGCAACCCAATACGTCTCACTCTTCTGCAAATGAAGACTCAACGCCAAGATTGCGGTGGAAATTAAGGCCTACTTATACAGTACCAAACATTATTTAAAAAATATCAAATGTACAATATACATCGACCCAGCAAGGCTCACCGAGTTTCAATTCTTCATTCAAAACAGCCACAATCTCAATGGCCACATACCTGTGATGAGGGCAATGAGAGACAGCGACAGCATTCCTTGCCAGTGGACTCCCATGTCTGTCTTGACAACCTCCACTCCAGGTGACAGAAGGCCTCAAGCACAGCTCCCTTCATTCGAGAACACAAAAGATAAACAAAGATCCTCTTTTCGATTTAAAGCTTTCGTGACTGCAGGGATTCATCAAGAAGAAAGATCCTCTTATAGCCATGTGTTGCACACTCGAAATGAAGGACGTGGGCAGGTGCTCCAAAGCGAGGGCAAACATATTTATTGTGATGCAACAGCACGTGTGTCACACAACAATCCTAAACAGAGTCGCAATTAACCATCTGACTGGCTTACAGGTCAGGTTACTCAATAACAGTTTCCCTTAAACTCAATTCTACTACTGATAACCATCTTTGTGTTTAATCATCGTTACACTTCACTATTCGAATAGTACCTTCATCCTAAGCTGTATGTCTATCTATATCATCCACTTATATTGAAACCTAACACCCATTATCTGTACTGTATATGTACTGTACTGTACTTGTCACCATTGTACAACTTACTCCTGTACATGTGTTCTATTCTTAATAGCATTGCAAGTAGTCCTACTCTGGGTGCATGGGCATGGTTATATAATAAACAGTATTCAAGACTAGAACATTTCTATAACTATCAAAACCAACATTTGGGTCCTTTACCTGTAAAATGCAACAGCAGGTGTGTCACACATAGTAATCGTCAATCGAGTCGCCATTAACCACGTGACTGGTGTACAGGTCAGGTGACTCAATAACCCTGCCAGCCAGCCACAGGCCCAACTCAGTTATCGCATGCTGGTGTACACACCTGCATTGATGTACTGCACAGCACATAAGGACCTTCACAAAACCACACTTTACTCCCTTGCTGCACGAGGAAATAATTAAAAGATTTGTCCATTCCTAATGTGCCACATATGCACTGTTGAAGCAAGTGGTG